TAATAATAAATAAAAAAATATAATATTGCATTAATTTACTGTCAACGGCAGCACAATTACATAAATGTAATGTCAACGGCAGTACAATTACGTTAATTAACTATCATTGACAGTATAATTACGCTAAATTACTGTCAGTGACAGCACAATTACGGTCAACGTGTAGCGGCGGGCGTGGAAAAACAAAACAAACCAAACAAAAAAAAAAAACTTAAAAAAACACTAAAGAAAGAGACCGCCGGAAACCGGCGAAAAAATCCGGAAGAAAAGAAAAGAAAAAAAAAAGAAAAAAGCAAAAAAAAAAAAAAAAAAAAAAGTCAACGCCGGAGACCGGCGTTGACCGCCGGTCAACGCCGGAATCCGGAAAAAAAATCCGGAAGGAAAAAAAAAAAAAAAAAAAAAAAAAAAGTTTAAAAAGTCAACGCCGGTCAACGCCGGAATCTGGCGGCAAAAAAAAGTTTTTGAAAAAAAAAAATTTTTTGAAAAAAAAAAAAATTTTGGGTCAAAATTTAATAATTTGTGAAATTTGGGGTCAAATTGAGATTAAATTAAGTTAAGGATGAAATTGGAGCATATTAAATTATACTCCAAAAAAAAGTCAAAATTGAATTTTTGTGGTCAAAATTGAACTTTTATGGACAAAATTGATTAATTTGGATTACAATTAAGAATTGGGTATAAATGATTGAGGGTAATATTGGGATATACATGAATGTTTCCTTTAGTTATAATAAATATTAAAGGGATGGGCTTATTGGTGAAAGAGATATGTCCCCTATACCTAGAATAATAAACATGCTTGGTTGGGGACTTTTGCATAAAAATCCCAAATAATTATTGCTTGGTTGAGTATGAAGCCAGATATGTTTTTCTTGGTATTCATCTTCAATTTTTTCGGTATTATTAAATTTATAATTATAATATTAAAAAAAAAATATAAGTTCATTCCTTGATAATTATAACACTATCCTAAGATCAATAAATAAATATTTTTTTTATTATTAAGAAATATATTTTATTTTGTTTTAGATTTTTTGAACATTAAAATAGAGATAAATAAAAAATATATAATTTTTTTACTAATAATATTAATTTATTATTTAAAAAAAATTAATTAATGATGGGTGGGTTTCATGTTAAACTAAATATTTTAGGTTAAACCTTCAATTGTACCCAAAATTTATTGAAATAGTAGATAATAACTAATATCACATGGGGAGGTGAAGGAATGACTATTGATTGCTATAGGAATGGCTAATCCCAACACTCAAACATACAAAATATGTGTTTTGGAATGAGCTTGGGAATGCACGTTCCATTTCGAACTCGTTCATGCATACCAAGCATTCTCTAAAGGAATTATTTACCGGTAAATTCTCTATTTCCCAATATCATGACTATCTGAAAATTGTATTTTTTTCCGAGATTTTTTTGTGTATTAAAGTTATTATTATTATTATTTAAATAAAAATCATGAATTTAACAACAATTAATAAAATAATAGAAAACAATAAGGATAAAATAGTACAAAACATAACAAGGATATCTACAAATTTATAATAATAACGGTGATGATCTATAAAATTTAGAATATATAAAATGTTTCATTTAATCAGGTCCATATATAGTATACGGTTTTGTAGAACCTACACTTAGTGAAATACACCTATGTAGTTTTAAACCGTAAATCTACACATAATAATATAAATTGTGTATGTAACTGTTAAGTGGACTCATAAGGCATAGCATACCCCCTCCCTCACCCGCCCACACTCCTCATGGATGGGGATGGCTTTAAAATAGTATATTAACCTTAATTTATAGTTTAATATTTTATAGAGTAAAAAGCAGTTTGCCCCCTAAACTATGGGCCGATTTGCACTTTACTCCCCAAACAAAAAAAATTTGCACGTTTTTACCTGAACTCGTTAATTCGTTGCACGGTGCCCCCTAAACTCAATTTTCCGGCAATTTTGACCGGAATGTTAAAACATGTGCTTTGCACGTGAGATTTTGAGGGGTAAATTCGTCCATTCACTTGCATCTTTAATAATAAATGCAAATAAATATTAAAAAAAAAAAGAAAAAAGAAAAAGAAAAAAGAAAAGAAAAATAATAAATAAATAAAGGAAAAAGAAAAACTGAGAAAAACTTGAAAATTGCGCAAAATAAAAATAAAAATGGCGTCTTGCTCCTGCCCTTTTCCCACTACAGTAAACCACCACCAGCACCACCTCGCTCCGCCGCCGAATAGCAATTCTATGGCTGCCACAACCACCAATTTCAACACCCCCTGTTATTCCTCTCCGTCTACAATTAATCTCCACCGTTCATTTTCCATCAAACGCAATTCTTGGTTGGGCCGTTGCCACGCCGCCACCGGTCCGCAGTCGGAGCCTCCACCGGAGAATAATTCAAAATTACGCAAAAAATCCAGCCCTAGTTATTTTCAGCACAACCAATAAAAAAAAAAAAAAAAAATGAAACCTCCAAACGGAAGAGTTAGTGAATATCCGATAAAAGGGGGTCGGAATAGCTACCGGAAAACGCTGCGGAATTGCAATTACAGCGGCGGCGATTGGAAACATTACTATGTGCAGACTGCGCTTCTGTTCTTTGGCGGCCGCCATTGACGGGTTTAGAAGAAAAGCTTGAAGAACAGCTTCTTTTTCCTTTATTTATTTATTCTTTTTCTTTTTTTTTTTCTTTTTTTTTTTAATATTTATTTGTATTTAATATTAAAGATACAAGTGAATGGACGAATTTACCCCTAAAAATCTCACGTGCAAAGCACATGTTTTCACATTCCGGTTAAAATTGCCGGAAAATTGAGTTTAGGGGGCACCGTGCAACGAATTAACGAGTTCAGGTAAAAACGTGCAAATTTTTTTTGTTTGGGGGATTAAAGTGCAAATCGGCCCATAGTTTAGGAGGCAAACTGCTTTTTACTCTATTTTATATCTGATCCGTGATGTTTTTTTTTTAAGATTATAACACCAAGTTGTTTTGTTCCGACCATTTTACACGTCTTCTGACTTTTTGCTTTCACTATCGTAATTCACTATGTTATTTAAACATAAAAAAATAATAAAATAATTATTTTAAGGGCGAATGGCAAAAAGGCCCATCACATGAGACTTAAATGCATTTTGGTCCATAGAAAAAACAGTTTCTCAATTAAACTCATCCCCATGTCTTTAGTCTAAAATACCCTCAATAATATAATTCTTATCAATTCCACCCATCATGCTCTAACTTCCTTAATATTACACATGGACCCCGAATTTAAACAAATATATCACATTAACCCCCAAAACTTTTTTTTTTTCATAAAATAATTTTTTTTCTGAATTTTTTTTTTCCGGCCAGTTTCCGGCGTTGACCGCCGGAGACCACCGGTCTACGGCGTTGAGTTTTTTTTTTTTTTTTTTTTTTTTTTGAAAACTTTTTTTTTCCTGAAATTTTTTTCCGGCCGGTCAACAACCGTTGACCGCCGGTCTCTGGCGTTGACTTTTTTTTTTTTTTTTTTTCCGTAGAAAAAAAATATTTTAATTAATATTACTGTTTTGGCTACTAAATTACTGTCTCATACAGTAATATTACTATTTGTGAGAGTAATATTATGAATATTATTTTCCCGAACAGTAATATTATTAATATTATTGTCTAAGACAATTAAATTACTGTTGGAGACAGTAATTTAGCATCCAAGGCAGTAATATTAATAAAAATAATTTTTTTTAAGAAAAAAAAAAAAAGTCAATTAACAGTTAAATTAATGTCTATGACAGTTAAATAACTGTTGGAGACAGTAATTTAGCAACGAATACAGTAATATTAATTATAATATTTTTGAAGAAAAAAAAAAAAGTCAATTAACAGTTAAATTACTGTCTCCGACAGTTAAATAACTGCCGGAGACAGTAATTTAGCAGCCAAGACAGTAATATTAATTAAAATATTTTTTAAGAAAAAACAAAATTATAAAAAAAAAAAAAAAGTCAACGCCGGAGACCCGCCGGAAAAAAATTTCAGGAAAAAATAAAGTTTTTCAAAAAAAATAAAAAATAAAAAAGTCAATGCCGGAGACCGCCGGTCTCCGGCGGTCAACGCCGGTCAACGGCGGCGACCGGCGGTCTCCGGTGGTGGCGGGTCAAAATTGGAATTAAGGTTAAAATTGGTTAATTGATGAAATTGGGCTAAATTGGGGTGTAAATCATGAAATTGGAGTTGAATTGAGTTTCATTGAATTAGGGGTAATTTTAGTATATATAAAGAGATTTTCCTTATTTGCAAATAAGTTTGAATGGGGTGGATTTATTTGAAAGACAGAAAAGTTGGATGTCCCTCTTTTAATTAAGTGCCCTTGTCATGGGTCTATTTGCCATTACCCCTTATTATAATTGTGTCCAAATTATGTTAATTTATTTTGTTTTCTTTTTTTTTTTTCTCAGCACTTTTCTTTTCCATTTTATTGTGACAGTTTGAATTTTTCCAACACAAGATGATGTTTGTCTTCTTTTTTCAAAGTGCAAAAATCAAAGGAAAAAAAAAAAAAAAAAAGACCCATAATTTGTTGCATATTTGAATTCCTATAGACGAGCATGATTATATAAATAAGGAGTAAAGTGAATGATTTGGATATTTTGAGGGTTGTTTGAGTTATTTGATAAAAGTATAATAGTTATGATATCCCACCCGGCCCCCACGCGCCAAACCACAGTGAGACAGAGCACAAGGCAAGTCCCTAGAATCCTCTCTAACCGACAACTTGATTGAGATACATGTATCAAACGCCACAAACCGGAAAATGAACATACCTAAATTTATGTATAATAATATCACTAATTAATCACTCTATATATATACATCAGAAGAGAGTTGAGTTTAAAAAACACGAGTCTTCACACACACACACTAATTTGACACTAAAGGAAAAGAAAGAAAAAAAAAAACAAAGAAAACAAAAAAGAGACCCCCACTCCCACTCCCACCCGATCATGTCGAATTTGGCCAACGGCATCACACATACGGCGCATGGGGTCGGAGAACACGTGTCCTTCCACATGTTCTTCGACTCCTGGATCGTGGAGCAAAACCACCAACTCCAAGAACTTGTCTCTGCGGCCTCGGCCTCGGCCTCCGCCTCCGAGGCCAGCGTGCTGATTCCACTGGTAGTCCAGCACTACGAGCATTACTACAAGACGAAATCAATGTGGGCAAAGAAGGACATTTTGTCAATGTTCAGGCCGTCGTGGAGGAGCAGCCTAGAGAAAGCGTACATGTGGGTGGGGGGGTGGCGGCCCACCATGACCTTCCACCTACTCTACTCCAAATGTGGCCTCCAGTTCCAAGACACAGGCAACCTCTCGCACAGTCAGATGGAGCGCGTGGACAAGTTGCACAAGACTACCTTATGGAAGGAGAAGATGATAACCGAGAAGCTGGCTAAGCTGCAGGAGACAATGGCCGACTCTTCGATGGTCGAGTTGACTGATCACTCTCGACATGGTGGTGATCAGGTTGTTCATCATCAGGGGCTAGTTGATGCGGCTCTGGCACCAAAGGAGAAGGGGCTTGTGGGGATTCTGCAGATGGCTGATGAGTTGAGGCTCAACACGCTTAAAGACTTGATCCTTATTCTGAGTCCTATTCAGGGTGTTTACTTCCTTATTGCTGCGGCGGAGCTCCACCTCAGGATGCATGACTGGGGGAAGAAACGTGACGACGACGCTAGCCACAACCACTGCTAATAAATGATCTAGCCAGATAGTACGTATGTATCTGGGCATGCATCAACAAAGTACTGATGCAGAGTAGTTCTAATTACCACAAAAATGTCTTTTAATTTTTCTTATAAATGCTATCGTTTCCAAATTAATAAATGCTGCTTATTTTCTCGGGCCTCTAAAATAAAATATATTTTGAGCAAACAAACCCCTAAACTCCCTTCCACCTCTCAAGGATAGTCGTCAAAAAGTGAAACCCTTCAATTCTCTCAAAATTGACCTTCTGGCACACGGTTCAATTATATCCTTTTTCCATCAGTATATTGGGGGCTCTCGCCATCTCTTTCTCTCTGTCTTTTTATGAGCACCCTTAATTTCAAATCTTTGTAGCGAAAGAGACAGTGAATCTCATCTCAATGTTATACCCAAAAATTACTTTGTGTATGGATAAATGGGTAATTTGCATTCCTTTTGTGTATTTATTGAATTTGTCCAATTGTCGGTTCATAGAAATCCATTTTCTCGTATTTTAGTCTGGTCGTTTGAATTTTCTTTTTCGTACTTATCTTTTTGTTGAATCTTGGGTTTACTCTTGGCTTTTGAACTTTGTTTGTTGTTTTTCACGAGAAGTAGTAATTTTAAGGGCGAATAGCACAAAAAATCAATTACATGGGACTTAAATGCATTTTGGTCCATAAAAAGAACAGTCTAATTAAACTCATCTTCATGTCTTTGGTCTAAAATACCTTCCATAATATAATTCTTATCAATTCCACCCATTATGCTCTAACTTCCTTAATATTACACATTGACCCCAGATTTAAACAAATATATCACATTAACCCCCAATTTTCGATCTTTTTCAGAAAATAATTGTTTTTTCTGAAATGTTTTTTTTTCGGTCAGATTCCGGCGTTGACTTTTTTTTTTTAAACTTTTTTTTTTCCTGAAATTTTTTTCCGGCCGGTCAACCACCGTTGACCGCCGGCCTCCGGCGTTGACTTTTTTTTTTTTTTGAATTCTTTTTAGAAAAAAAATATTTTAATTAATATTTCTGTCTTGCCTACTAAATTACTGTCTCAGACAGTAATATTACTGTTTTGGACATTAATATTATGAATATTATTTTCCCGAACAATAATATTATTAATATTAGTGTCTAAGACAGTTAAATTACTGTTGGAGACAGTAATTTAGCAGCCAAGGCAGTATTATTAATTAAAATAATTTTTTTAAGAAAAAAAAAAAGTCAATTAACAGTTAAGTTAGTGTCTCCGACAGTTAAATAACTGCTGGAGACAGTAATTTAGCAACAAATACAGTAATATTAATTAAAAATATTTTTTTTAAGAATAAAAAATTCAATTAACAGTTAAATAACTATTGGAGACAGTAATTTAGCAACGAATACAGTAATATTAATTTTAAAAAAATTAAGAATAAAAAAGTCAATTAACAATTAAATTACTGTCTCTGATAGTTAAATAACTGCTGGAGACAGTAATTTAACAACAAATACAGTAATATTAATTGAAATATTTTTGAAGAAAAAAAAAAGTCAATTAACAGTTAAATTACTGTCTCCGACAGTTAAATAACTGCCGGAGACAGTAATTTAGCAGCCAAGACAGTAATATTAATTAAAATATTTTTTTAAGAAAAAACATAATTATAAAAAAAAAAAGGAAAAAAAAAAACAAGTCAACGCCGGGGACCCGGCGGTCAACGACAGTTGACCGGCCGGAAAAAAAATTCTGGGAAAAAAAAATTTCGAAAAAAAAAACAAAAAAAAAAGTCAACATCGGAGACCGGTGGTCTCCGGCAGTCAACGCCGGTCAACGGCGGCGGCCGGCGGTCTCCGATGGTGGCGGGTCAAAATTGAAATTATGGTTAAAATTGGTTAATTGTTGAAATTGGGCTAAATTGAGGTGTAAATCATGAAATTGGAGTTGAATTGAGTTTCAATGAATTGGGGGTAATTTTGGTATATATAAAGAAATTTTCCTTATTTGCAAATAAGTTTGAATGAGTTGGATTTATTTGAAAAACAAAAAAGTTGGATGTCCCTCTTTTAATTAAGTGCCCTTGTCATTGGACTATTTGCGATTTGCCCTAGTTTTAAAGAATATAATCTCTCATTTTTTTTATATATAATATAACATTTAATTTTAAAGAATCACTCTTTTTTTTTATATATAATATAACATTTAAACTAGAGCAGAAGAAAGAGGAGACTTTGGATGGCAACAATCTTTGGATTTCTCGGGGGCATGCATTTGTTGAGTGGTAGTATGTGAGGTGTATATTTTTACACTTCATTATATTTTTTAATTAGAGCTCTGGTGTATTTTAGTGATATTTGGTGCTTAATGTTTAGATTTATTGTCTTATAGGCACAAAGTAAAGAATTTAATGAATTTAGGGTCAAAACTGCAATTTAGAAAAAAATAATTGACAAAATTGGAAAAGTCCACATGGACCGATCAAGATCTCGAACGACCGTCTGAGAAATACACTAGAAATCCAGATGGCCGTTCGAATCAAGAAAGAGGAAGAGAAAGCCACGGCATTTCGGACGGCCGTCCGAACTAGAATGTTAAATCTAGACGGCCGTCCGAACAGGCGAAGCTGCGCAGTAAGGAACTTCTAATTGTACAAGGAAACTGTCTTTTTACCAATTTTTCCACCTTATAAAAGACCATCTCAAGCACAAAATTAAGAGTCCATCCCTCTTTTTACGCAATTTTGAGAGCAAAGAAGCAATAACGAAAACGAAAATTTTGAAGACTTCAAGCATAGATTTTATCTTTCATGAATTTTTATTTTGCTTTTAATTTTAATCATGAGTAACTAAACGCTATAATTCTAGGATTTTATTCGAACCCCATGTGAGATTTATGAACCCTTTCTATGATTTTATGCAAGTTTTAATTCCGGATTGTTTCTTCAACTTGTTTTATTAAGTGCATGAAACTGGCCACTTTATGTGCTTTTCTGTTATTGTTAAACGTATGAATCGGAAGATCGGTTTAACAATTAGAACTTTGGTAGAAGAACCTTTATTGTGCTATCATATGAATATAATTAGCCTTTTAGGTAGTCATTATTGAGATCTACGCTTAGTATTGTGTTCTAAATCTAATTGCGTATGAATACAATAATTTAATCTAGAATATTAGAATCATAATACACACGGAGGCGGATTATGATTAATTTAGCATCTCAGGTTAATAATTCAAGTTAATTACTTGCATAATTGAAGGAATTGTGAAATTAATAATCACATAGGAGGATAATAAACTCTTAGGCTTGTTTAATCTGATATCCTTCGTGTTTATTGGCTTCCTTGATCTTACATGCTTAATTTGCTTTAATTTAATTTAGTTAAATTAAAATAGTCAATCTTCTTTCGACTATGTAGGGTGAGCTTGATAATAATTGGTGGAATCTAGCTGTTATAATTAGATAATTTAATATTCTCTATGAGATCGATATCTGGACTTTTGTCCATTTTATTACTTGTTTGATACTTACACTTGCATGTAGGTAAAATCACCAACAAGTTTTTGGCGCTATTGTCGGGGAATATTTTAATTGTCTATTTTATTATAACTCTAGATTTGAACAAGTTTCATAGATCACCCAAAAAAACTTAATTTTTTTTGTACCGTTTTATGCGTAGGAGACTAAATCTCGGCAGATAACAGTTTGATCCCGAGATTGAACGAACCTTTCGAGCCGCTAGGAGATTCCAACGCGAACACAATCCGATGGAGGAAGAACAACAAAGAGACGCAGATGGTTATTTGCTCGATGAAAACGAAATTCGAATCCAAGACCATCCCCATGACTTTCACTACAGCAAGTCGTTAGGCCGCAGACACTTCAAGACTACATAGTCCCCACTCTTGATGGATTCCGCCCAAGCTTCCAATATCCGTCCATCGATGCTCATAATTTCGAGATCAAACAAGGCCTCTTGAGGATGCTCCAAAATAACGGGTCTTTAGTAGTTCATTTGGTATTTCAGTAAGGGCATCATAATCTTTTAGTATTTAATTGGTAGGAAATTTGATTTGGTCTTGTCCCTAAGTAATTGTGCGATTGCATATAGTAGCTCCCTTTTTTTAAGAGTGGTGCTATTTCCACCTCCAAATTATCTCAATTCACCACCAAATATATATAAAATATCATAGACACCCTTCAAATTTGTAATCTACCATCTTCCCTTATATTCGCTTAATCCTCATATGTTCTAAGTTATTTGTTTTTATTTTTGCAATTTTATTTTTGCAATGAAACCTAAAAGGGTAAAATATGATTATAATAATCGTCCAATTTGAAACAGTTTCCGAAGAGACTGTGTTAAACAAAATGTATCCCATTTCTTAAATTTTATTCCACCGAAAATGATAATATAACAAATCTCTAATTATTTATTTCTACAGAAGCGCTCTTAATTTATTTTTCGAAGAACATGAATTCCTGCTCATTTTTCAACTACAATAAAATTCGTTATCAACTAAAATATATATCACATTTTTATTTTTCACTTTTATTCTTTTAATTCATTTTTTTTTCTAGCAAGTCATATTATTGATAAAAAGAACTATAAAAATCAAAATCAACTACCAAACAAACGAAAATCTACTTAAAATGTCGAAAACAACTAAAATGATCGAAACAACTGAAAAATAGCAGAATAACGAAATAACTATACAAAATACCATAAAAGCAAAAATAACTATATTGCTATAAAAGATACCCACCATAAAAAATATCTCCAAAAAACAGAAATTAAAACGATGGCAGCGGTGGGGCAGAGGTGGAAGGGAGAATAGGTGGCGGCGACAACGATGTCACCAGATCCGGCAATGGAGACGAGAGTGCAGGTAGAGAGGGATTCCACCGCCCTTGATGGTCACCAAATAAACTGAACAAAGCTTTTGTTAACGGCGTCAGAGGTTACAGTTGGACGTTTGCGGTCGCGATTCTCCATGAAGATGTAGCCCAAGGTTTTTAAA